TAAGGTGTCTTCAAACATTCACGCATGTCTTATTGGAGTAAAAGTATATCTGTTTTTTACTAGAAACACTAGAAGTCAGTGGTCAGACACTGGAGTGTATTAGTTCAGTTAATATTTAAGGAATTCAGTTACATTTTGTTTAAGGAATTCACAGTTACATTTTGTTTAAGGAATTCACAGTTACATTTTGTTTAAGGAATTCACAGTTACATTTTATTTAAGGAATTCACAGTTACATTTTGTTTAAGGAATTCACAGTTACATTTTATTTAAGGAATTCACAGTTACATTTTGTTTAAGGAATTCACAGTTACATTTTGTTTAAGGAATTCACAGTTACATTTTATTTAAGGAATTCACAGTTACATTTTATTTAAGGAATTCACAGTTACATTTTGTTTAAGGAATTCACAGTTACATTTTATTTAAGGAATTCACAGTTACATTTTATTTAAGGAATTCACAGTTACATTTTGTTTAAGGAATTCACAGTTACATTTTATTTTGTAGTGGTTAATTCATATTTTTGTTATCAAACAAAACATAAATTTGGGCAAGCAAAAATAAATTGAACGTTTTAAAATGTTTTTCTCTGTTTGTTGCTAGTGGTCATGGCAGGTCTGTAGACCCAAATTATTAATCCAGGTATCATTGTTCATTTAAAAACAAAGGTATCATTATTCATCGTGATTGTTATGCAGCTCATTGTGATTGTTGCATCAGGAAATATTCTTACATGATGCTTAATGACTCATCTTATCTAACCAGGGATGGCAGGAAGTTATGCTGTAATAATTATCTGATATTAAAATACCAGTGAATCATATTACAACTAAACAAGCTGATTATGAAAAAATATAACATTGAGAAATATTGCCCTGTTTGAACACATAAATACATTCCTTTGAGTGGCAATTCAGAAGTTGGGAAGTACAATGTTGACAAACTTTATGGATAATGACTTCCTTTATTTCAGGGGCGGTGAGGTAGCCTAATGGTTAAAGCGTTGGCTCGTCACGCCGAACACCCGGGTTCGAATCCCCACATGGGTACAATGTGTGAAGCCCATTTCTGGTGTCCCCTGCCGTGATGTTGCTGGAATATTGCTAAAAGCGTGTAAAACCAAACTCAGTCAGTCAGTCAGTCCTTTATTTCATGAGTGCGAGGTTTAGATATAGATTCTTGTACTGTTGTGCTGCTTGACAACGGTACAAGAATCTGTTTCAAAATGTTCCACTTATGAAAGAAAAGAAGTTGTTATCCATAAAGTTTGTTAATATTGCACATCAGTACTCTCAATTCCATGTAGAAAGTGGTTAAATGTATCATGTTTTATTTGAGATTGCACTTTCTTAGTGAAGTACACATTCTAGTAAGAAAGCAATCCAGCCCACTCAGCCCACACACTTCCACAAGAAATGACAACAGGTAGTCTAGATCACTATTTATATCCCTCTGGCAAGGAATAGATTGCTGACTTTGTGTGCTGGTGAAATGCCTGACTCTGAGAGTGTGGATTCCAGTTCTGGATGGGACTAATAGCCCAATGAAGTATTAGAATCTGTAGTTTACAGCGAATGTGTATTCCCAGATATAACATAGGTGAACAGTTGAATCCTGCCATCTTGTCCTTGATCTGATATGGCACAGTGCTCAGTTGTTTTGTATGAGAGCAGTTCAAATATGTGGTATGTTATAAATCTCTAGGTCATATGATATATTAAAGGTACAATGTCACACCACATTTCTCTAAAAATACATAATGCATTTCTCTCAATAATACTAACTATCAGCCATCAGGGAAGCTACCATATGATTTATTCACCAAAAAAATACAATATTGAATTAAAAAGTTTGAATGAATTATCCATAAAAGATCATTTGAATGAATCTGAAAACTGAATAAAACAAAATTCTGGAATGTGCCAAGATTGTGTAGCAATACTTCCCAAGGACTGTGGAAAGTCTCTAAATGTTTAACCGACTGAAACAACAGACAGACAATGATTTTAATGATTTAGAGCAAGGACAATGATCTGTCACACAGACTGTAACTGTCTTATGACAACTGGGTTGTGCCAATGTGTTTATTTTTTTTTTGTCTATGATATGTCATCAACTGTCACATTCAACAAGATCTGACTTGTCTATTGTATTGTGTTGTTATTTTAACATTAACTTTTCTGGGACATGGTGATTTCACTGCAGAAAAGGCTGATGTGATGTTAGTGACTTTTAATCATACTTGGCTACTTGCTATTGTTCCACACAGCTGTGAGCTCCAAGGTTCCAGTGATACTTAGTTCTTCTGTCTTGTCATGAAATGACAGTTTTGTTCATTCAAAATAACAAAGATTATGGTTATTGTTTTCCATGTAATTAAACAATGTAAGGTTTGGCTCTTGTTGTCAATTTTCTGCATTATGATCATATCTCATATACCGGACCGAAGCGAATACCTTGTGTTGCAATACGTACCATACCGTGATAAGAGCGTACCGTTTCACCCCTAGACACCAATGAGTCATTTTTGTTTATCTTCTATGAATATAATAATGATGACATAGACAAGGCCATTATAAAGTAATTAGTATTACCTGTGCTTCATGGATGCTTCACATGGATATATCATTATGTGACACACACCAGTGGGGAGTCATCTGTAACACATTTGCTGTTGTATGAGGCTGCCACATGGATTTGTGACTTTGTTGTCTGTCACACTGAAGACCCGGGTTTAATTCCCCACATGGGTACAATGTGTGAAGCTAGTGTCCCCTGCCCATGATATTGCTGAAATACTCACTCACTCACTCACTCACTCACTCACTCACTCACTCACTCACTCACTCACTCACTCACTCACTCACTCACTCACTCACTCACTCACTCACTCACTCACTCACTCACTCACTCACTCACTCACTCACTCACTCACTCACTTGGTGGTCTTGCGAAGTTCATCCTGTTCAGGCAGCCTAGTGGTTAAAGCGTTTGCTCGCCCAAGACCCGGGTTCGATTCCCCACATGGGTACAATGTGTGAAGCCCATTTCTGGTGTCCCCCGCTGTGATATTGCTAAAACGTAAAAGCGACGCGTAAAGCCAAACTCACTCACTCATCCAGTTCATATCCTCCACTCTATGGGTCAGTGCTAACAATAACAGTCACTGGTCTTGACTTGACTGTACAACGGCCTCAGATTATATATTTATTTTAACACATAATTATGATAATATACCTAGCCACTAGTATACAAAGAGTTAGCCGGTCTATTTTATGCCCAGTAACTTAGGATAGGTTTGGTGGTCCAATAGTTCCTGTGTTTGTTTGTCTCTAGCTCAGTCTAGGTTTAATCTCCACAGAAGAAACTTATGATTATTGATGTATCTTTAAGCTTTAAAAGAAATTTACTTGCTTTTGATTACTTTCTCTATCAGATACATCAATCGTCACTATTGTTAATTATGTTGATCAAAACTGGCCTTTGATAGTTAGGACAGTTGTCTATCCTTGTGGACAGAGATGCTTCCTAGCTCACTACAGTGATATTTTCCTCTGTAATAAATAGCAATTGAACATGTTCATGCGCCTCTCTGGAGCCCCATTATGTGTCATACTGACTTGCATGCAGTGTAGAAGTGGATTCATGACTCATTTTCTTATTCTACTTTTACAGATGATCATATCATGATTTACATTTATTCCTACCTTATTATTTTTGCATTCTTTTGTTTTAATTTGATTTTACTATAAAATATTACCAAGCTGAAGAAATGTTACAGAAACAGAGTAATCTGACCAAATGATAATGTCCATTCTTTTCAGAGAGATCGTCCTTGGGGTACATATTATGCATTTTCCGGGCTGTAAAATGTCCTGTGACAGTTGTATCAATGTTTTTGAATAAAAAGATTGTACAATAAATAAACTCTTTTATTTATTATACGGACCCTACCTCACGGAGTTACTCCCCTTAGCGCATGCGCACTAACTGGGTAGGCTCCTAGACCCGTATCATCATTCCTTCTGCTGTCACGCCTGAACAGACGTTAGATTTTGTGATTACCTTTCATGAGCCGTGCGGGGCTGTATTTTAAGATGTCTGAGACACCACCTGTATGTTTGGTTTTATTTGTCTAAAACAATAACAGTAAAGCCTTACAGTGGTTGTTTCATAATTGTGACTTTGTATAAGTACTATCAAAATCGCGAAACTTTCCCGTGGTTTACGCAAAGTTTGCTCTGCCATGGCGGGAAGTTTAGCTGCGTGCGGCGTGGTCGTAATATTGCGTTTTTAAAACCAACTATTACTTTCGTGGGTAACCTTCAATGTATTTTTTCAATGTTTTCTACGTGTTTCTCTGCTTCTGGCCACAAGTTAACTAACATGTTTACGTGTTTGTTTCCAGGCTTTTACCTGTTGTTCGGTCTGTGGGGAAGTATTCCCGGGCTGACAGTCACTCCCAATGCGTGGCCTGTCTGGAGAAGACGGGCCATGTGGCTGATACATGTTCAATTTGTCTGGCCTTTTCCCCGGGCACAGAAGAGGCGGGCGGCCGACACCCTGTTTTACCGCCAGATGCGTGAGGCGGGAGGGGACCTGGCGAGGTTCCCCGTCAAAATCTAAACGGGCGGCCCAAAAGGAAAAATCCGTGGCCCTTCCCCTCTCCTACCACTTCGAGTGGTTTTGACATGTCTCTAATGGAGTCGATGTTTCAGAAGCAGATGGACTCAATGAAGTCCTTCGCTTCGAGTCGGTTGGAGGTCTCCACCAGGAGTTCCTCGCCCACTCCGGGCGGGGGCGGAGAGTCGAGGGTGGGATCGCCGCCCTCGGCTAGATCCCTCAGCCTTGAGGCGCCTGTCGATCCGCTGCCTCTGGCTTCGAATCCGGGCGCTTCGGCTGCTCCGGGAGAGGGAGGTGCTCCCAGTCCCCTCTCCGAGCTTGCGCTTGGGCCGTTGAGTATTCCTGGTATTCCGTCCCTCGCGCACACACCCGCTATGAGCCGGAGGCACCAGTTCTGCCTGGCCTGCCTCCAGCGCCTCGGGACGGGGAGTCCACGCACGCCGGGCTGGCGCTGGCGGGAGCAGTCGGTCTGTTCCTCCCTTCCTGTGGTGCCCAGCTGGGCAGTCCACCGGGTCGGGGTTAGGGTCCTCTTACGGAGGAGACCCAGCCTCTGACTCGGGCTCGGACGCCGAGGCAATGGAGCTTGGGAGGTCGAGGAGCATGGCGGGCGGCCGTTTTGCTTCGCCGACGCGGCGGGAGGTCCGGCAGAGAATTGCCGAGGGCCTACCCCAGGCCGCGGTGCCTGCTGGTAGCGTGGACTCGACTGAGTTCCGCTTTGCCTGGCGAGGGCGCTTGCCCCTAGGCAACCCTCACAGACGCAGCTCCGCGATTCTGCCATCGTTGGTCGCTGGGCGGGTCGATCCCCTCTTGTCTGGTACCCGAGTCAGGTTTGACTTACCTGAACTCGTCGCGGCGCTACCAGCTTGGGAGGATTCCCTGTTCGTCGTACCGATCGTGGGCGAGTGTGTTTTCACTTCCATTAAGCCTGGGGGAGGCTCGGCTTCCTCCGGAGCAGCTCCGGCTGCTTTCGGCAAGGGCGCCTCACTCCACCTTTGCCCTCGCTGGCGCCCTGCGGGCACGCGGCACCGGACCTACGAGGGAGGTCTGCCGGACGCGATGCAGCAGGTGCGGTGGTGGTGGTCCATGAGGCCTACCTCTCCTCGATACAGAGGTCGGCCCTGGAGGCGGAGGGGGGCATGCTGGCGGCGATGTCGCCGCATGTCGCAAGCTACTCCGTCAGCTGTCGGAAGTTCAGGCTCACCTCGCTGCGACTCTTTGCGGTCTGCTGCGTCGGCGGTGATGTGCGCAGTCATGGGGATGCAGGCTGTGGCTGTCGGCGCCTAGGTACTTTCGGCAGCAACACAGCAGACCTTGCTGGCTCTCCCTTTCCGCCTGGGAGCCGACCCTCTTTCCCGGGCACAGCAGGTCATACGGGGAGGCTGCCGCTGCAGCTACCTCCTTCAAGGATTCTAAGGCCTTGTTGGAGCACCAGCGGTGTCTCCAAGCGCTCCCCGTGCCACCTTCCTCCGCCGGGTGCAGCCTACACCCGAAGTCTGCCGGGCTGGCTTCGGCCGCTTGGTAGGGGTAGGCGGAGGAGTAGGTCCGGGAAGGGTAGGGGCAAGGAGCAGTCCTCGACTAGCTCCCAGCCTTTTCAGCGGGCGGGAGGTCTGCCCCCGACCTCCCTGCTAACCCAACAGGCTGCCGCTCAAGCCGTGTGTCACACCCAGTCAGCTCCGCTACTAGGGTCCACACGCGCTCCTACCCCATATCCCAGTGGGAGGCCGCTTCTCTCTCTATTCCTGCCGGAATGGGAGAAGGCTACCAACAACGCTTTGGGTGCTGGCCACGGTCAGCATAGGCCATCTCCCACTGTGGGCGGTGGTCCGCCTCGACTTCACCGCATATGACGCACTCGGTGCCGCCATGCCAGGCCAGGGCGGACATATTGCGACGAAGTTCAGGCTCTGCTGGACAAGTCCGCAATCGAGCGCATTCCACCGGGAGAGGAACAGGCGGATTTTTACTCCACGTACTTCCTCGTCCCGGAAGAAAGACGGCGGTTCCGTCCGATTCTCAACCTCAAGGGGTTGAATCGCGATGCTCGAAGTACCATCCTTCAAGATGGAGACACTAAACCGTGATCTCATCTGTTCAGCCCGGGCGATTGGCTCCACGCCAATCGACCTAAAGGATGCGTATCTGCATGTACCCATACATCCCTCGCTCAAGCAGTACCTCCGGTTCTCTTTACGACGGGGATGTATTACCAATTCAGGGTGCTCCCCTTCGCATATCGACTGCCCCAAGGGTGTTCACCAAGCTCATGTTAGTCCCAGCTACCCTAGCTCGCTTCGCAAAGGAAGGCGCTTGTTACCCTTACCTAGACGACTGGTTGCTCGGAGCACTAACACAGCCAGCGAAGTCAAGATGCTACTCACACAGTGATAGACATTCTAACTCGACTGGGGTGGATCATCAACCTCAAGAAATCCGACCTGGTACCCACCCAGGACTTGGTTTTTCTTGGAGCGATTCCAAACGAACAAGGATCTCGTTTCCTTTGTCGCCCGACCGGGTCACCAGAGTTCGGAGATGGTATCTTCATTCCTCTCCCAGCCCCAGGCACCAGCACGGACTTGGCTCCGCCTCACTGGGCCATATGGCGCTTAATTTATCTCTGTAGTGTGGCGGGCGCGGTTGAGGATGCGTCCCATACAGCAAGCTTTGGCTCGGCTGTGGACTCACCGCGGAGGATCTGGAGCGCAGTCTCACAGTCCCCGAGTGGTTGACACCTCACCTTCAGTGGTGGACAAATGTCGGGAATCTCACCAGGGGTTCCCTTGGAAATCCGACGCCAGCTCTCACAGTTCAGACAGATGCGCCCCTCACGGGCTGGGGCGTTCTGGGCAGTCTGTCGGCTTCCGGACTCTGGTCCGGGCGAAGCTCACCTTCACATCAACGTGTTGGAGCTGAGAGCTGTGCGGTTGGTATTCGAAAGCGCTTCAGAGAGCATGTCCGTGGCCAGGTAGTCCGCCTTCAGTTAGACAACCAGACGGGCCATGTCGCATACATCCTGAAGCAGGGAGGCACGGTGTCCCCAGCGCCCTCCGGGAAGCGTGGACTTTCTCCTCTGGAGCCACTCAGTACGATTGTCAGGTACTCCCTGTTTATCTCCCGGGCTGGAGAACGCGAGCAGATGCGCTCTCTCTCGCCGGATCCTGGCCCCGCACGAAAGTGGATGCTCGACAGGCAGATATTCACAGTAATCTCCCAGTTGTAATGGGTCGCTCGAGGTGGATCTGTTTGCGTCCGGGCGGACGATCAGACACCCGTGTTCTGCTCGGGATACCGACCAGAGGGCTGGCTGCCGACGCCTTCCTGCTGGATTGACGGGCAAAGTGCTCTGGGCGCTCCCCGCCATTACCACTCATTCCCCGTGTCCTTTCACAGCTGTCCACCCAGCCAGCTCGGCTACTTGTGCTACTGGCACCGCTTTGGCCGTCCACAGAGCTGGTTTCCGGTAATTCTCAGGTTTCTGGCTCAGCCTCCTGTTCTATTACCTTTGCGACCCGGACATTCTCACTCAGAACGGAGCTTCCACCCAAATCCACGGATTCAGTGGGTGGCTTGGCCTCTGTCAGGTCTAACCTCGAGGCACGCTGGAATTCCTGCAGCAGTTGCAGACACAATTCTGGCTTCGGTGGGGGATTCGACAAACGCTCAGTACGAGGATAGGTGGTCCCGCTATGCGCCGCTGGTGTTCAGATAAGGGGATTGCAGATCCCTTTCTCTGCGGATTTAGTCCGGTATTGGAGTTTTTGCAAGCTCGTTTGGAAGAAGGCCTGGCGGCTTCGACCATTCGCGGCTACTCCACCGCTTATTTCCACTTTTCACACCCCTGTCGATGGTGCTCTTCTGGGGCAGCACCCTCTCGTGATAGCGCTTTCGCTGGCGCTGAACGGATTCGACCTGCTCTCAGGCGAACCAGTCCACCTTTGGGATTTGTCGATCGTGCTCGATTGGCTGTCCGTCCCACTTTCTCACACCTATCGGCTATTTCCATTCAGTTGTTGACCTGGAAAGCTGTGTTTCTGGTGGCGGTAACATCTGGTCAAGAGTCGGCGATATACATGCTATGTCGTCCGACCCGGCGCTTGACTGTGTTTCACACGGATCGTGTCAGCATTCGGGCCTCCCAGATACTTTACCGATCGGAAGGTCGATCACGCTTTCCATGTGACAGCTCCTATCGAACTTCCTACTCTTACCCAGCCTTCCACATCGGGGACCACTCCTACTGAGCACTCACCCGTTGATGTCCGTAAGACGCCTCAAAGTCTATATCAAACTTAACGCAGGGGATCCGTGCGGGTACCCAGCTGTTCTGTTGTTACGGTGGCGGGAAGGCTGGTCTGCCAGCGAGCAAGCAAACTTTGTCTCGCTGGCTTGTTTCGTATTTGTGCCGCTTATCAGGCTAAGGGCAAGCCTCCCCTGAGGGGTTGAAGGCTCACTCGGTCAGGGCAGTAGCCGCATCAAAGCTTTTGCAGCGGCACTCCCCATTGAAGAGATCTGCTCTGCCGCTATTTGGAGCCGCCAAGCACTTTTATACGCCATTATCAGCTCGATACACATTCACGCAATCGCATGCGAGCTTTGGTCGTGACTGCTTCTCTCCAGTGGACAGTGTCCTGCCACCCTGACCAAGTGAGTCTTGGTTTATTGGTTTGTGTTGACGCTTACTGTACAATGATTCCATTATTGACATGTCTGCTTCACGAAAGCACTCAGAGAACCTGTACCCCTTCGATTCTCTAAGGAGTTACGATATCGTTAGTGAGTGGTATTTTGTTTTCCCCTACGGTGCTCTCCACGAAGAAGCCACTTAGTGGGTCGGATTTCACTGACATTCGCACTACGTGCAATGTCTCATTATGCTAGAGGTCGCCTTTTGAGCACAAATCCTCCCTGTCAGTTCCCTCCCATAATGCCTCTCATGAAGCTAAAACTGGGTCAGTGACAGGTGAGTGTTATGGCGTCTGTTCAATTTTTTCCATGATAATGATCGCTATATTTTTGTGTGTGCTTGGACAGAATTCCCTCCTCCCTGGCCTCCGGTCTTTGGGAGTCTGTGTTTATGCATAATATGTACCCCAAGGACGATCTCTCTGAAAAAGAATTTTCCAAACCTGCAGAGGTTTTCAATTCTTTGAAGAGAGTCGTCCTTGGGGTAGGGCCCACCCACCTCCCCGCAATTCTGTTCACTGATGAGAATTCAGCAGAAGGAATGATGATACGGGTCTAGGAGCCTACCCAGTTGGTGCGCATGCTCTAAGGGAGGTAACTCCGTGAGGTAGGGTCCGTATAATAAATAAAAGAGTTTATTTATTGTACAATCTTTTTATTCAAAAAACATTGATACAACTGTCACAGGACATTTTACAGCCGGAAAATGCATAATATGTACCCCAAGGACGACTCTCTTCAAAGAATTGAAAACCTCTGCAGGTTTGGAAAAATTTTCTACATGCAATTTACCTGTGGCCATGTTAGAAAGTGTCTTAATGTGTTTTCTTCATGTAAATATTTTCGATAACACTTATATTCTTTATCATATTTAGTGCTCATCAACTGTACAATTTGAATTTATATAATGAAGTCTTATCTTATCTTATCTCAGTAATTGTAAAGTGTCTTTACAACATGACGTAATGAATGCTTGTGCTGTTTATGCATGAGAAAGGATTTAGCTTGTGTTCTAATTTTAGTGCCCTTGCAGGCAGAGTGCAAATATCATTATTTGGTTTGAAATATTAGGGTTTTATTCATTTTTTTTATACACTTAAGTTTGGAAGTATTTTATTATATTTTGAGTCGGCATTGAGGGCAATAAGATTTACTAAGGCCAGACGAATTTTTTTTTTACGCTTTTTTCTCCTCTGAAATCCTCAAGGCAGGAGGGAAAAAAAATAAAATCACCAGTCAAAGTAATGTTCCTTCGAAATACTCAAAGTATTTTAATTTATAAAGTGTATATGGGGCAAAAAACAATCTAAAAAAACATTTTTTTGTAAGTTTACATTTTTGGCCAATAAAAAGATTAGGATTTTATTTTTTGAGCAGGGAAAATTAATTTTAATTTTTTTTCTTATTCTTGAAAAAATACGACAAGCGGATCCGTAAAACAAGAAATAAAATTGGTCTGGCCTAAGCATTCAAAACATTTGCCTTTTATTGATCCTGTTAAAGTGAAATGTTTACTAAAACATACAAAGTATAATTTGTTATTACTTGAATTGGGAAATATATTTTTCTTATTTCCATATTTTTGTAGAAATTTGCTGCAGACTTAAGGTAGAGCTCAAAACTGAAATGAAATCAGATGATAATGCATCAGTTACTTATAGAATCGTTTTGTGTATAACCATGATACCGTCATGATATCTTGTTATCTGTACAGCAATCAGGTTCAGTCACATGGCTTCATATCTGACTGTCAAACGCTATCAACAGAATGGTGTTAAAACAAACCAAGGCTGTTTATCCAAAGTAAACATCCTTAAAATAGTCAAGTAAACACTCTGTTACCTTTAAAAAATGGTGATACAGAGAAAAACGGTTGTCAGACAACAAGCATAGCATGACACCACCACCATCTCTCATTCAGACAGGGTTAACATGTAGAACAGGGTTAAAATCTAGGCTTCATGTCAGACACATGTTATCCACAAGCTGTTAACAATATAGAAGAGTATCTCACATTGAGGCAGGCTACTACTGCTGTACTATATGGATATGCTGGGATAAACGATGTATAATGCCCCACCTGCCATGGTTATTATATTGTTTACGTGTTCTCTGGGCCTCTTGTTAGTGGTTAATGTGTTACATACAGTGTTGCTGTTTACGAATATACACTGAAATGTCAGTTTTGATTGGAGTCGGTATGGAAGCTGGCGTGGAGTAAGGGAGATTATTGCTGATGTGAGTAAACCTGATTTAGCTTTCTTTTATCAAAGATTTTCTTAAAGTTATAACATGTATGTTATCACATGTTGTCAGATATTGCCCTGGGGGAATTTTAGTTTGAATTTGTAGACATGACTTCCTTGCATATGTTATAAATCTGGTATATTCGACATACTCAAGCTGTTTATAGAAGTGAGCATCATCCTGTATATGGCCATATGAGTGGATGTTCTTGTATGAGCAGGAAACAGAGCTGGGAAAGTGTGGAGGCAGAAATGATACTGTTGTTTTTCAAGTGGATGGCTTGGTAACATAGATTTTATTACAGCAGAGTCATATTGCAAGTGTTTGCAGCCGTTGGTCCACTAAGTCTACCCATTACTTGATGATGTATTGTCTGTCATCAACACTTGTAAAGGTGACACTGTGTGATCTCTCAGTGACGTGACATATAAAGGTCAACAAAGACCTGCTCAGGGTGAAACCGGATTAACATAATTGTAATGTGATGCTGTTTGTGTTGTTAATGCTGCAGTCAGCAGTACTCCAGTTATATGATGGCAGCCTGTTAATAATAGGTCGAGCAACATCCCATGACATCAGGCACGATGACATGCAGTCAAACAACTCGTGAGTCGGACAAAAGGAGCATGTTCAGCTGGGGACCAAATAAAACCATGGTGAAGCTGAAGTAACATTATTATAACTCCAAACGAGAAATTCATGTTACCTTTGTAAAACCATGGTGGTAAGTGACAGGATTTTTATATAGGAGTTGTTATAAATCTATTGTTTACAGAGGACAATGCTAAGCACTATTTGAGGGTTAATCTTGTCCTGTTGTGACACGGTTTCCTTTCAATGTGCATTTTACTTCCAGAGACACCATGTTTCCGATGGAAAGTGCTGTGACGCAGCTGCGTCCGGAGACCATCGCAAGACTGGTGGATGAGGCAGAGGAGAAACAGTGGACGCAGCTCGGAATTCCTGGAGACGAAGAGGGGGACTCACCATCCCCCATACATGGGTCAGCACAGCTGGGTGTGGCACTACTGAGGTAGGTGGTTATACTTTGACATGGACAGTAATAGCACTAAGGTAGCCTTGTACCATGGCACCATGAATACCCATCGAAACCCCAGTGTTGCACTTGCTACATTGACCGCCTCCGTGGTGTAGTGGTCCGCCCGGCGAGCGAAAGGTCGCGGGTTCGATCCTCGACCACGTCATACCAAAAGACATTAAAAGATGGTACTTGTTGGTCCCTGCCTGGCGCTCGGCATTAATGGGTACAACAAGGACTGGTCGGCTCGGAGTCAGTATAATGTGTCTGAGTGGGGTATTTATGCTTCACTGTGGCATGGTATCTCAGTGGGCTAGCACCATAAAACCAGCTTCAGTCTGGGCTAGTACAAGCAGCCGCACATACACATACACACGCATGCACGTCGTCATATGAGCGAAATATTCTCAAGCACGACGTAAAACCCAATTTCACCTCACCTCACTTGCTATCTGGGTAATGCGTACATATGAACAACAAACATCATTACTTATATGCTATATATTAATTGCATTTTCCATTCATGAAATGACAAAGATGGAAGTTCTTTTACCATTTCACTTTCAGACATGGAACCTGTATCAAGAAAATCCAGTCCTATTTCAGCCATCTTGAGTAAGTTTGTTTATTTCTTTGCAGTTCTGACTTGTTTCAAAACTTTAAATTTGAAAATTGCTTCAGCATTTTCATATGTGGCTTGATTATAAGTTTCACATGCAATATTATGCAGTTTCATATACAGTATTATTTATGCATGAGATGTTAATTTGATTTGGGCAGCGGGGTAGCCCAGTGGTTAAAGCATTGGTGCATCACACCGAAGACCTGGGTTCGAATCCCCACATGGGTACAATGTGTGAAGCCCATTTCTGGTGTCCCCTGCCGTGATGTTGGAATATTGCTAAAAGCGGCGTAAAACCAAACTCAGTCAGTCAGTCAGTCAGTCAGTCAGTCAGTCAGTTAATTTGATTTGTATGATAAATTATTTCATTTCATATGAAATATTTAGTTTCATATTACCGGTAGTTTAGTTTCATATAAGATATTCTGCAGTTTCTTAGGAGATATTATTTAGTTTCATATGAGATGTTATTCAGTTTTGTGTGGGATATATGATTATATTATTCCTGTTGATATTGAAGTGTTACACTGATGATCATGTGACAGGCAGCTGATAATGTTTTCCACATGACAGATCAAGGAAGTGTTGCATGTTGCTGGCAGGGAGGAAGTCAACCTACAGTAATGTCCGAGTGGTGAGGAAAACAGTTTTTCAGTCAACAGTGACTTGTGTATACTGTCATTGTCTGAATGGGAATAACATGCCCGCATAATATTACCCTAAAGTCACAAATAGCACAAATCAGGATGTACTGCCTTGTACTTAAGGTTAAAACTAAGGAAAAAGGATCTGTGTGTACGTCAGCAGGCTGAAAAAGTCTGCTTTCTTTGACCTACCTGTGACAACAACCAGAGACCATATACCAGTATATGGTATCTGCCACTAGCTTTGACAATAATGATAGATTAGTTTGACAACTGAAATTGTATGAGTAGATTTACGGTTAGTGTGTTTGGACACAGCATCACTGAAGGAATTAGTGGGTACAGTTCATCGCATAAAATTGTCATTTACATTTAAATTGATTAATCTGAAGTGGACAATATTGATAGTGTATTATTGTATTATGATGTTAGGTATCAATACCACAACACCAGTATGTATTGTTTCATATGTCTGAGGGGTGATGGTGGATGGAATTAGGGAGGGGGCAGAAACAGAAAATGAGTTTCACATGGTACCCTCATAGGATATAAGTTGTATGCTTCTCTCGAGGGTAATACGGTCTGATGTACACCTTTTAGTAGCAGTGTCACCCTAGTTCGGTACATATATGCATTAGTTTAAATATACCAGTGAAAGTCGGTAAAATAAATGTGTACATAGTGAACTCAAAAACAGCTAATCGAACGGTTTTCGAACTCTGTACACTGTATGCATCATATTATGACTGTTAGCAATACAGTTTCTTGGCGATACAGTTTAGCAGTTACCGTGGCAGCGGGTAATATTTTTTCAAGTTGTCACCCTCCTGAGAGGGGTGACACAGAAACTTGTTAAAGCATCATTGACCAATGAAATTAAAGTATTTTACATGAAGGTAAGATAAAAGGCTTTATTGTCTTTAGGAGGTGCTTGCAGATGTTAAAACAAACACAATATATTGTATGTGTGATGAATTATCATTTAAAAGTGACGACTTAGTTCTTTTCATTATTTTAAGATTGTCATAAGCCAAAACCAATTAATTGTAATAATTTTGTGTTTCTCCAGGTGAGGAATGATGGTCAAGACAATGGGCTGGAAGAAGGTCAGTTGTACATGTGTATGGGTTTATTGGCAAGGGCTGTGGGGTAGCCTAGTGGTTAAAGCGTTGGCTCGTCGTCAAGCCGAAGACCTGGGTTCAATCCCCACATGAGTGGCAAATATTATTGTCTTACTGATAAAGTAAAATCTACCTGGTAACTAAAAATGTGATTAGAAAAATGGTAAAATCTGGGTCTCTGTTATTTTTATAATGGACTCATATTTGGGGATGAATTTTAGATTTAGGTATATTACATTTTGTGAAATTGTATGATCATGATGGTTGATTCATGTTCAGTATCACGTGTCCGTCATGTGTAAATGTGAAACTTTTAGGAAGTATGTGAAGGTACAAAGAGGTTTTAAAGGCATAGTCAGTTCAGAATTACACTGTAAAGGAATAGTTATTGGGCAAGGGTGAAAAATGTGAATATTTAGTTCAAAAATATTTTTCCTTATCAGATTCTGACTCATGCTCTTTTGCTTGTCTTCTTCTTCTTGCGAACATAGTGGAACACTTGTATCTCCTTATTTGAAGCTCCCTTCAAAATAAAATCACTAATTGGTACTCACCACGAGTTGCTCCCCTTTGTCTCCCCTGGCGGGAAAGGTGTCGCCACCCTCTGGCCATGTGCTTCACTCTCTCCTTCTTCGCCCAGTGAGCAGGATGTGAGAGCGCCTTGTGTCTCCTTACACACATATCCTTTGATAATCTCTTAGTTTTTACCTCTCATAGGTTACTATAGAGGTATAGCTAGTATCCTTTACTATTTGTATTGATTAATTATCATTATTTCTACTGTTTATTCACGTGTATTAAGTGATTGTTCAGCTAGCTTTACGTTCATGAAAATCTGTATGCGATTTGTAGATTACGTTTTTCTGCCTCCGATCCACATGTAATATGCCCTAGTTGTTCTACGCCGTGTCGCGTTTAATTCCGTTGCAGTTACTGCATTAATTTATCTCATTCTGCATTTAATAAATATCATCTTTGCGTCTTAAGGCGTGCTGCAGATAGATCCGCGCAAACAAAGGGCAAAACATGGCAGAGAGTCAGATATTCCTTCCAGTCAGCTGCTAGCGATCGACCCTCTCCCGTCTGGTGTTCTGCTAGAGACCCCTGCGGCAGAAGAGCGTGGGGCGCAGTCCGTTACCTCGAAAAGCGACCGGCCTCCCCCAGACATCCGTCATTGCAGACTAAGTCTAAGAGGGCCTCATCGTCGTCTCAGCGCCCAGATTGAGGACACCCAGGGCAGCGCAGACTTCAAAGGAAATCTCGAAGACAGCAAGAACTTTCTCAGCGAGATCGTTCCAGCAGCAGAGTTGGGCCTCTCGATGATCAGCCGATAATCATCCCGACTTCACGGCAGAAGCGACCGGTGTCAGCGACTGTGACTTCTGCAGAGATCTCCATGCAGCCTGATGCCTCTACACCGGCGTCAGGCGTCATTGATGTGAACCCCATGCGCAGAAAAGGCGCCCGGCGACCGTCTGAATCATCCCAGAAGACATGATGCGGCAGATTATGAACATCATGGAGGACCACTACAAACTGCGCTGCAAGCAGGTCCGAGCAACCAGCGAAGGCTCCAAGCGTGAACAACACCCCAGAGGCACCCCGTCAGCGTAGCAGCCAAGGCGATGTCACCTTGGCGAAGGAAGTCCGCACCACCTTGGCGAAGGACCTAGATGTACAGCCGAAGGCCTTGGCGGCGGGAGATCATCACCATCTTGATTTCATCTCTAGATATGGACTCAGACCATCAGACATCACGGAAGCCTTCGCGAAGGTCATATCATCGATCCCCGGACGGGGCGCAAATGAAATGAAGCGAAGGCATTCGCGAAAGACATATGATTCCAGATCTTCATCGTCTAGAAGAACATGTCGAGGACTGCCGAAGAGCTTGGCGAAGCTATCAACATTCACCTCACAAGTCTCGAGAAGATCATCCCATAGGCGATCTCCACTCCGTTCATCACCAGGTCGATCACCCATCAGATCTCCACATAAGCGGCGCTGAAGTCAACTAGATCGCCACAAACCTCATCAGATATTCAGATACAGCTACGCGGTCGAAGAGCATCTACAATTTATTAATGATGATGGTTTGAGGATGATGGAGGAATCATATTTTCTGATGCAGAGATCACGGTATTGGATGGTCAATAACCTAGATCTCACATCACCATCTAAAAGTGGCAATACAGCTCAGGCGTATTTGATGAAGGAAGATGATCCAGATGCAATCACTCTACCCCGATCGACCTGATTGCGGCAGTGCCACAGAATCTAGATGCAGCTTTCCAGAAAGCTACGAAAGTTCAGATACCACATCTACCCAACTTTCAAGCCAAGAAGTTCTCCGCACGCTAACATGGACTCCTTCTACAAGGCCCAGGACATCGATGAGAACTATAAGATCATCAGCGATGTAAAGAACAAGATTTACAAGATGGATGATGCGCAAGTTGGCTCATATAGAAACCATGACCGAGGCGTATGTTCTTTGGGTTAAATAGATCTAGGGCGATCAATGAGACTCTTATTACTAGATTCGGGGATTCCACGCGACGGAAGATGATAGAATGATTTATTCTGCCTTACTTATGCAAAAGAAAGATCAGCAGTTTTTAGCGGATCATCTTACATCTGTTTCAGCAGCACTGACCTTAGCTCGTCGTCAAGGCCTCCTCGCCTCCTGTAATTGGGGAGAACTTTACAGCCCACTTTATACAGCCCGTGATCGACAACATCCATCTTTGGCGGAGAAATCGACAAGGTAAGCCAAGGAAGTCTCTAAGGATTCCAGGAAGTCCTATGATTAGATCGATGGACACACTAGCCAGCGTCATTAGTCCAGACTTCACAAAGATACTCAGGCAGATCTAAGTTCACGGGCCTACAAAGAGCAAGAGACAGGAAGATAGCCAGCTCTAGAGGTAAAGATTCTTTTAAATGCGCCCATATGGCAACTATAGAGGAGGATCAGGAAGAGGCAGGACACCCAGAGGTTCCGCAATTATAGGCGGCTGAAACACAGGTTGAGCGACTGGAGTCTTCCACCCCAGCCGTTCCAGTACAACCAGCTCAAGTGGGTGGGCGCCTCCAACTACACTGGGAAAACTGGGGAATACTGCAAGATCCTTCGTCTCCAACATTATTCAACCGCAGTTTGCATTATCCCTCTACTGGACAAGCCTCGCTGACAATCAAACCCCCAAGTTCGATTTACAAAGCAACAACTACCAAAGATAAAGAGGCTGTCTCATCACTCCTATCCAAACAGGCCATAGAAGTAATAGATCAAGCAAGCGTCGAACCAGGTTTCTACTCCCCAGTTTTCCTAGTTCCCAAGAAAAACTCCCGCGGAGAAATACAGACTCATCTACAACATGAGCTTTTCAACAAGAACTATCTCACGCCAAACCACCGAAGTTTAGCATGATACATTTACCTCAGTTCATGCCAGATGATTAGATCCTATGGACTACATGGGCAGCATAGATCTACAGGATGCCTACTTGCACATCCCCATTCATCCCGATTCCAGGAAATACCTACGATTTACTCTAGAAGGGCTACATTACCAGTGGAAAGTACTCCCATTGAATATCATCAGCCCCCTGGCTATTCACGAGGATAACGAAACCGATTATCAAATTTCTACATCGTCAAGGGGACTCGCATGTCGTTTTACCTCGACGACGGGATACAAGTAGATCAAGATCCACTGCGTCTCAAACTACAGTTAAATTACATCATAAAGCTACTAACACAACTAGGTTGGTTAGTAAACTTACGCAAAGTGGGACCTAGTACCATCGCCAAGACCTACAGTTCCTAGGTATTCGATTCATCACAAATCATAACCGTATTATGGTACCAGAAGACCGTTGGCTCAAAGATACAACAGACCATTCCACCAGCTCTACTCTCTCCGTTACCACTGCGACAATGGCAGAGCCTACTAGGTCTTCTCATCAGCCCAAGACATGACTGTCACAGGCAGATTACAGTTCACGTCCCCTACAGGTCCTCATCAGCATCTCAGCGATGTACAACCATTCAGTCTACCGAAACATCTCAGACCACATCTACTATGGTGGACCAAGGAATCGAATGTCTGCGAAGGGATTTGTTTAGCAGAGCAGGAATACAAAAACCCATCTGTATGTAGATGGCGTCACTCCAAGGTTGGGGAGCTCATCTCACCAACCACCGCGATATCAGGGTTATGGAATCAGCAAGAATGCAAACTCCATATAAACAGTCTAGAAATGAAAGCTGTAATCAGCGCCATTCTACATTGGAGCACATTTCTACAAAATGCGGCCTAATGATCCATACAGACAATTCGACAGTGGCGTTCTACATAAACAAGCAAGGCTCAGCGAGATCGATGAACCTTTTGAACCTAAGCTTTCAACTGTTCGATTTAATACAAGATCTAAATCTACATGTCAAAGCAGTGCACATTCCGGACCAGAAATATACTAGCAGGCGGCTCTCTCTCGGCCTCATCTACCATCACCGACAGAGTGGATGATCAACGAGAAATTTTTGCACAGATAATCAAGCAATTAGGAAGCGCAGCCTAATAGACCTGTTAACCCGCAGCGATTCAACAATCAGCTACCGACATTACGTGTCACCAGTCCCAGACCCCAAGCTTGGGCAGGGACTCTAAGTCTATCATGGGAAGGCCTCAATCGTGCGGCGTTTCCGCCCGCCAGCAATAATACCTCAAGTATTACAGAAAATCAGACAAACACAGAGCCTACAACTCACTTTGGTGGCGCCCTACTGGCGGCCAGAGCGTGTTTCCATACTAATTCAAAGAAATCGGTCAACCAACACTGGAGCTACCCAAGCGCGCAAACCTGTTAATTCATCCTCACACCAAACAAGTGCGCGAAACCCAGCAATGTTCCAACTACTGCATTATGGACTGTATACACAATGTGTTTAAACAAGAGAGGATATTCTGCCAGAGGCGGCAAAAGCAGTCACGCTTGCCTTCACGTTACTCAACTTCGTGGCAATGCGGCGACAAGTGGCACAGTTTCGAAAATTATGCAACAAAGAAAGGGTTTACAGCAAGAGAGGCTTCACAACCTCAAGTGGCAGACTATTTGTGTTACCTCGCCAAAACAAACATTTAAAAAGGTTCAGCGATATCAACATATCTTGCGCTTAGCTCTGTAATCACCATGAGAGCGGGTGTCAAATTGACAAGATCTCCAGAGTTACTGGCCTTACTCTGAGCTTTCGATTGGAGGACCAAAGCGGAAGTTCCACGCCCAGCTTGGGATCTGAATGTAGTGTTACAACACCTCACGAGTGAGGTCTATGAACCCTTGGAATCGACAAACTTTGAATTTCTCTCACAGAAAACATTGTTTCTGCTATCGCTAGCCACAGCAGCAAGAATGTCTGAAATTCAGCTCTGGATTCTGAGAGGATACAGTTTGATGACAATCATAACACAGCGCACCTCGGGATTAAGATGGGATTTCATTGCAAAGAATCAACTGCCAGGTCAACCAGACAGATTATTCCACATCCGGTAGGCTATCCTCTATTCTCGGATCACAAGATACACAAGACCTATCACTGTGTCGGTAAGAGCCCTCAAAGTTTATTTCTGACGATCCAAAACTAGGAGAAGATTTCTCAAAGCGTTTATTCATCCCATTATAAGCCTCTGAATCAAACAGAAGTGTCACGGACCACAATATCTATTTGGATAAGGACTGTCATTCTCCGTGCCTACAAGGCAGCAGGCTTGGACCCACCAACAGCATCAAATCCACATGAGATCAGGGCACTGGCCTCTACCCTCGCCCTACGGTAACTGTTCCTTGAACCACGATTATGGAAGGATGCTATTGGAAATCTAACATGGTATTTGCTAATCACTACCTAAGAGACATCACTACAGAAGATGTCTCTGGCATTCACCATTTCGGACCACTGGTCCTCGCTCAACAACTGACAGTCCCTGCGTGGGCGTTAAAATATTAGCCTCACAAGATTAATATGTAATTTATACATACTCATCTAGCTTATAACTCTAAGGAGTTTTAGGGCTATGTATATATGTTCAGCTTAAGTATTCTACCTTAAGCATATACTTGGATATAGTCAATTTCAGTGCCTCTATCAGAGTCACCTATATATATATATATATAATTTATATGTATTGTTCAATATATTCATAATGTAATTCCCCTTTAATGGCTTTATATAACCTATGGTTTTCTTTATACAGGATACATCCTAAATCTAAGACTTCATGAAGTTCCCGTGGGGAATATTACAATATATCTATACAAAATCACTAATTATAAATCCAAAGTATTCTGTTACCCACCTCCGTTCCATTAGGATGCTACAAACAAAAGAGCATGAGTCAGGATAAGGAAAAATATGTAATTTTAGAGTAAAATTGATATTTTATACTTATCCTGACTCATGAGGTTAACCCTCCATCCTCCCACATAACACTTTGGATTTCCCTGTAAATTCAAGTGTTGGGCTCGCTAAATCAGGAGAGAGTGGAGCACATGGCCAGAGGGTGGCGACACCTTTTCCCGCCAGGGGAGACAAAGGGGAGCAACTCGTGGTGAGTACCAATTAGTGATTTTATTTTGAAGGGAGCTTCAAATAAGGAGATACAAGTGTTCCACTATGTTCGCAAGAAGAAGAAGACAAGCAAAAGAGCATGAGTCAGGATAAGTATAAAATATCAATTTTACTCTAAAAATTACATTTTGTTTACAATATATTTCTTGTCTTATTTTGCTAAGTTTCAATATTTGTTGTGTTTGCGACACAGGTGCGATGAAGAGAACGATCAAGTCTCACACCAAGGATGTTCAGCAGCTGGACCACAAGGTGGGTGGAAGATGTCTCACACACATCAGTATCAGTGAACGAAATAGCCACTGGCCCACTAGCCCGTTGCTAGTAGAAATCCAGTTGGACCAGTAAATCTCCACAGTCTCTGGTCTGACTGGCTGGTGAATATTATAGGGACATTTTGTAAATATATCACTCTCTCCGACGTTTTAAGTTATAACACACTTTAAAATTATGCAAGATTATGGCCTGATAAAAATGTTCATCATATTAGCAGCTAAATGATGAAACCCGTGTCTACATTCAAATGTCGGCAGGGGTAGCCTAGTGGTTAAAGCATTGGCTCGTCACGCCGAAGACCCGGGTTCGAATCCCCTCATGGGTACAATGTGTGAAGCCCATTTCTGGTGTTCCCCGCCGTTATGTTGCTGGCATATTGCTAAAAGCGACATAAAACCAAACTCAGTTACTCAGTCAGTCAGTCCTACATCACCAGTGAATACATGGGTTTGTGGTTTCATGGCTCGTGTTTCACCAACCAATCAACGCATGGCCTTGTTGCAGCAAAATGGAAATCATCTGAGCCAATGAGAACTGAGATTACATTGTGCAACATGTGCAACAACAGCCATCTACTCAGATGTTGCTGATGTAGCAGCTGCAGCAGGGTTCTTCATAGACTAAGGCTTAGTCTCTGAATATATATAATTTTGATAGTAACAAACAAGCCCATTTATATTGAAAAGGAGCCCTAGGGAGACCAGAGATTCAGAACTGAACCTGAGGAAATCTAGACTTGCTTTATTTAGGGCTTTAGCACTGCAGAGAGGGCTTGGCAGTAGGGAAATTAATGTGGTTCAGGGACTGTGAGACAGACCAGGTTCTTCATGCAACACACTCTCACAACCTTCATGCAGTTAGTGGCACTTATTTCACTTCATCATCATCATCATCATCATCATCATCATCATCATCATCATCATCATACACAGCCTCATTTAGAAATACACAAGGCGCTCTTACACCATATTTCACACATATATATTCACAGTGAGTTTAGTTAGTTTTTACGCCACTTTTGGCAATATTCCTGCTATAACAAGGCGGGGGACACCAGAAATGGGCTTCACACATTGTATCCATGTTGGGAATCGAACCCGGGTCTACGGCGTGATGAGCAAACACTTTAATCTCTATGCTATGCCATGCTACGCCACCGCCCCCTTAAATTAGAGTTAGTGAGTTTAGTTTCACACCACTTTAAGCAATATTCATGCAATATCACGGCGTGGGATGCTTTAACTGCCAGGCTACTGCAACTATATTCACAGAAGATGTGAGAAGTGTATAGGTAAAATAATGTAAACAGTAATACATGAAATTTATTTTCCAGGAATTCCGAGCTTTCAAACACGCCTACCTCTGTGCAGCGTTCCCAGTTCTGGGGCTCCAGACCCTCCCTCCCCTTTATCACCCTCCCCAACAACACCCACCAATACCCCACCCACCCAGATCACCTACCCCAGGTCCATTAGCTCCGACTACCGGCCGTCCACCCCCCACTCCCTGCACGACAGCGGTGTGGAGGAGACAGACGAGGGAGCCATGATCCCCACCGAGACGCTGTGTGAGCTGCTACGTCGGGCATTCAGGTTATCAGCCGACCGCTTCCACCAGTATGAAACCATGATTGCTAAATCATATCAAAACAAATCCCCACCGAAGGTAAGTACCGGTAGACTTTTTTTTAGAAATTGTGCAGGGAAATATGTGTATTCTTCCTTTGATTTTGTTATGCTACTTAGCAATATTCCAATTAATTCATGGCAGTTGTTGGAGTGAATATGTATGGTTTATGCCACTTTTAGCTTTTATGGTGCCTTATGATAAAATAATCACTCATCAAGTATGAAGTCATGTATAAAATAGTTTTCTGATAAAATTTTCACTTACAAAGAACATAGAATGAATGTAGTTCCATTTCATCAATCCTGCCTCCTGCGCAAGGATTGTCCTGAGAGGACATTGGATTATCTTAATAATATTCAACAATGTTTTAAAGGTTTTTTTTAAGCATGCTAAGTAAATTCAAATGTGATGAGTTCTTTTTTGTGTTTCCATGCTTACAGCTGTTAGCTGAAGAGTTAATGAGTCAGTTGACAGCCTTGGAGAACACCAGCAACACCTTCTACAGCCCTGCAGCCTTTCTGGTGAGTATTCCGCCATCCAGGTGAGGTGAGGTGAAATTGGGTTTATCGTCGTGCCTGAGAATATTTCGCTCATATGACGACGTGCATGCGTGTGTATGTGTATGTGCGGCTGCTTGTACTAGCCCAGACTGAAGCTGGTTTTATAGTGCTAGCCCACTGAGATACCATGCCGCAGTGAAGCATGAATACCCCACTCAGACACATTATACTGACTCCGAGCCGACCAGTCCTTGTTGTACCCATTAATGTCGAGCGCCAGGCAGGGACCAACAAGTACCATATTTTAAGGTCTTTTGGTATGACGCGGTCGGGGATCGAACCCGCAACCTTCCACTCTCCGGGCGGATGCTCTAACCACTACACCACAGAGGCGGTCCCGCCATCCAGGTGTTTACTGACTGTAATACACAATTCATTGATTGTCAAGGTTAGACCTGTTTTGTGTTGATTGTTATTGCATGTGACCTTTCAAAGCCCTAGATTGGTTGTTATTTGAAAATAACAATAAACTTGTAAACTTGTAGTTTGATTTAGTGATCTGTTTAAAGAGAACAGTCATTGAGTTGAAATATTAGCCTACTTTACTTAGGTTGGTTTTAAAAACTGCCTGGAACACCCGTCTCTGTTTGAAGTTACTTCCCTTTTCATTTTGTCTTTACAGTTTTGCTGTGTTAGTGATTTTGATGTTTTTTGACTGAGCACTCCTAAATTCAAAGTACTTCTCAGAAGTCTTTAGAATTTCTGGGTTATAATTTGGTCTTCAGCATCCTGTGCTTGTTGTAAGAGGCGACTAACGGGATCGGGTGGTCAGGCTCGCTGACTTGGTTGACACATGTCATCGTATCCCAATTGTGTAGATCAATGCTCATGCTGTTGATCACTGGATTGTCTGGTCTAGACTGGATTATTTACAGACCACACCATATAGCTGGAATATTGCTGAGTGCGGCGTGAAATAACAAACAAAATATACAAATCTTTAGAATTATGTTGAAGAACCACCTTGAATATATTTACATCTGTCTTCTCTGTCGTTTGCATTATTTGGCATTATCTTACATCCGAGTCTTGACATGTTCTTTTCTTGTGCCAGACTCGGAATGGCTATGACATCTGGTGCCACCAGGAGATGTCGCATATCTCGGATCTGCTCAACAAGTTCTGGCACTTCTCTCTGCCCTATCCCAGTGACAGCCAGCTACACAACAAGGACCTGGCCACTGTCCATGAAGACTACGAGATACTGCTGTCTAAACTACTGCTGTGAGTGTCCGTCATGGGATTTGTGGGTTAGAACAGGTTCATTGCAACCTATGCTGGTTGAGGATAATCCATGGTGATTCTAATTCTGGTGTTCCCATTTCTGGTGTTCCCTGCCGTGATATTGCTCGAACATTGCTGAAAGTGGCTTAAAACTAAACTCGCCGTTATCCGGGTAAAATACGCAAGAAAATTTCCAATTACGCATTAAAAAATAATTGTTGCGTACCAATTATGCATTTAAATGGTAGATACGCAAAAAGTTTAAAACAAATGCGTACGGAAAATATTTATAAAAATCGCTTGCGTAATGAAAAAAACATCAATTGCTATCAAGTTGTACTGTTAGTATAGGACAAGTGTTGTACTGTCAGTATAGGATGAGTGATTTTTTATGAAATCATTTCCGTTATATTTAAGTTGGTTTTGATTAGGTATGACATAAGACCGAACATACCTGCTTAGTAAACTTACTCAATGACATAATACTTAGGTGAGTAAAATGACTGAAATACGCACATATTTGAAAGCAGTGGGTAACGGAACATGAAATACCCACTCAACATTCATAATACCCTCTCCAAAAAAAATACAGTAGGTACAGTACCCACATGAGCTAAGTCTTATCTGGAGCTCTGGGACCACACTCAACCGCTCAAACACTCAGGGGCTCACACTCAAACACTCAAACACTCAGGGGCTCACACTCAAACACTCAAACACTCAGGGGCTCACACTCAAACACTCAAACACTCAGGGGCTCACACTCAAACACTCAAACACTCAGGGGCTCACACTCAAACACTCAAACACTCAGGGGCTCACACTCAAACACTCAAATGTTCACCCAAGGTTCAGTTCTGACCCAGTAGAATGTAACTATTTTCCTTGCAGCTATGAACACCAGTTTAAGGTGGGAACATACGACACCTCCAGTCCTCTCTTCTCACTGCTGTCTTCTGCTTCAATGCGTCTGCTCAGGGAGTTTGCACTTCGGTACGGCATCGTAAGTATTTACAGCAATGAGTTCACATAGTATTTTTCTACCATGTGAGCCATGAGGATTCTCACTTGTATTCTTAGTCATTTTGTTAATAGTTATCACTTTTAAAACCAGTTTTTTTAATGTAACTCTCTGTGATTTAGGCATTGCTTTGGGGCATGTGTGTGATGCTTGACTCTTTCAGTTACACTCCACGTACACTTCAGTATATGCAAATGTTTGCCTAGGGACTTGATCTTGATTTCAGTTGACTTGATTTTGTGCTGAATTGACATTTATCATCCAAAACTGTGTTCCACAGGAGATATCGCTTATGTGAGATCAAACGATATCTCCTAGGAGATATCGTTTTGACAGTAGATTTTGTACATGCCCTGACAATGCTATGACGTCATGTACTTGATGATGTCACAATGCTATGACATCGCTGCACTGCAAGTCTAATGGCAGTACCATGTTCAGAGATGTACATTTTTCATTGAAAATTAATGAAGAGTGATTTTGGATGATAAATAGAATCTCACCCTCGTGTCTTCTGATATCAAATATATCAACACTCGTTGATAAAGTAAAAATATCCTCAGCAAGCCTCGGATATTTGCAACTTTATCAACTCGTGTTGATATATAGAAAATCACCAAGTGTCTACTGATATCAATTATATCAACCGCGAGTTGATAAAGTTACAAATATCGAGGGCTTGCGAGGATATTTTACCTCAGCGAATGTTGATATAATTGATATCAGTAGACACGAATGAATTATTATCATCAAAATCATTCTTCATTAGTTTTCAATGAAAAATGCACATCTCTCAACTCTGTACTACCATTAGATTTGCAGTGCAGCGATGTCATAGCATTGTGACGTCATCAAGTTGATGACGTCATAGCATTGTTGGGGCATTGTACAAAATCTACTGTCAAAACGATATCTCCTAGGAGATATCATATGATCTCACACAAGCGATATCTCCTGTGGAAAACAGTTTTGGATGATAAAATTGATATCAGAAGACACTTGGGTGAGATTCTCTATATATTTCAATTCTCAGGGTGAACAGTACCGCCGAGTGTTATACCTCCGTCACTTGATTGAGATCTTCTCTCCATGTGTGTGGTTTCTTCAACACATGACCTCAGTTGTTGCCAGTGTCAGAGACATGTTTCCTAGCAACAAATCACAACTTGTGATGACCAAGAAAGAGGTAAACAAAATATACTCCTTAATTTTCTCACCCTCTCTGTATAACAGATTAGAGGTAAAATCGATTCAAATATGCTTAGTTAAATATCACAAAATCATCGTTGTTTGAAGACACACAAACACACAATCATCAAGTGCACTGTGAAGATATATCCAAAGTTATCCGTGGTTGGGCCATATCGCCAATATGATATGTTGAACCAAACTTTAAGCATATAGGTCAAGGGGTCATCAACTTAATGTTAACAATGAAAGACTAAAGGGATCCTGAACTTCAAATGCCACTGGAGACCATCTATTAGTTGAGATGAGATTGAGTTAAGGTTCAGAGATACTTGAAGAAGGTTGTCTTGTTATCAGATCATGTTGAAATCTTCCTTGTGTAATGATGTGTAATGATCTTTGGTCTAGTATGTACTACTGGACACATGTATCAAGTCCATCCTCGTCCAGACAGCCAAGTCCTTCTGTCAGATGAAGAGTATATTCCAGACTGTCAGACCTGCAGAGGGAATAGGTAAGATGACTACACTGGGTTGTAGTCCAACTCTTGGAGCAGACAGGGTATTTTTTACTGATGAGGGAGCTTCACTGGCCAAGTCATGCTGCCAAACCCAGTGTCCCTCATCCCTGTGATGTGCTGCTATACTAATTGTAGTCACCAAAGTGGTGATCTTCATCAGATCAGGCTTTTCATCTCACATCAAGCTGACTATATAACTGAAAACCACTGAGTTTAGTTTAACATCGCACTCAGCAATATTCCAGCTATATGGCGGTAAAACCACTGAGAACTGTATATACTGATGGAAACAACTAACAGGCTTACCAAAGAAAACTTTCCCACTGTGCAGAAAAACTCAGAAAAGCCCACATGAATCGTGGAAATAGCAACATAAACATAATACCTCGCTGCTGAAACAGTAGAAATGGCAACGAAAAACTATGAAACTGCAAATTTTTATATCAGCGAAAAACGGCAACTTTAAATCGCTAAAACTGCATAAAAAACCTAAGAGCCTGCAACTTTGATTTTGCGCACATGGAAGTGGAAGTCTCGACCGCATGTTGACATTTTTCGGTTAGGCAAAACTTACATTCCCTTTCTAAGTATTTCTGTTGTATTATTTGGCATTTATTATCTTGATACTTTTGTGCACCCTTGTTTAGTTTACTTTCTATTCGTATGAAATGATTTGCAGCAATTATTTCGACATATTTAATACATTTTCTACGCGAGGCGATTCACGTTTGTCCGGAAATTGGAACGAAGCGCAGATCGTAATGCGCATGCGCAGTAGAGGTCAAAGTTCGCTGATATAAAAATGTTGCAGTTTCATAGTTTTTCGTTGCCGTTTTTACTGTTTCAGTAGTTAGGTATTATGTTTATGTTGCTATTTCCACGATTAATGTAGGCTTTTCGGCGTTTTTCTGCACAGTGGGAAAATTTTCTTTGGTAAGCCTGAACTAAGGGAACACATGAAAGTGCCAGTGTACTTATATTCTTTTCCAGGTTTCTTCACAGGCTTTGTATAGCACTGTGGGTGGAAATCTGGGAATAAATAAAGGAACACTTGTACTTTCATATGTTCCCCTTTTTGCATCCTTACATTTCCATTTGAATGTTGACAAATATGAGTGCTTTCTTCATTGTGGTATCCCAGCTTAGGTTTTAGAGCATGGTATTATTTCCACAAAGAATAATCATGTAGGATTATTATCAAAATTATGTGTTTATATGGCGTATGTAAATTTATATTGTATCCCGGTGTCAGGGGTTTTCGACGATGTAAGACAAAAACGTATTTTTTATCTGTAATACCATTTAAAGTTTTTATTTTACTAACCTTGAGTGATAAAGGATATATTCATCTATTTCACACAAAAATATCAAGTGTTCCCTACAAAAATAGTGTTGATGGCATCGTATCGGCGAAACAGTTGCCGCTCGTAACATGCGGGTATTTTGTATGGGTTTTCGACGATGAGCCATTCTTTTTGCTCCGCACTGCGAGGGAGTGTTGTGATCACGTGGCTTCCCATTTATATATTGCCTGTCACCAGCAGACGACTGGTCTAACTGAATTTTCGCTTTCTGTTTTTTTGTTATAAAGGCAACTGATTTTGCATCTGAAGTGGTATTAACGATCTCGGGTAAATAATATTGATGTTTGTTTGCTTTTTATATAACTTTACTTCCCGATTTCCATTGTCAATAAAACTTCTCACGACAGCGACTGGGCACCCGCCCTACCAGTGAAACTGTTTGTGCACTCCGATCGCACACGTACTCCCCCGATATAGCGCGTGCAATGCAATCGTCGAAATCACCAGAACGTCGAATTCAGCTCGTGTTGGGATATATTTAACAAAGGACATGAATTCTGAATTGTGTCAAATTTCCCCGGCATGACTGTTATCCTGTCTATCTCATGGACAGGGTAACATGAGTGTCCAGGATGAGTGCATGTCAGGTATTGGACTGTCGTACGATGTGATCTGTCTATATCCTTCAGATATCCTCATTGGACTGATCTCCATCACACTGGACCTGCGAGCCTACCTGACAATTGAGAGCCATGAGACCCTGGATATGTTCCTATACAGAGCTGTTCAGGTACAGACAGTTACAACACTCCCTGAGTTGCCTCTCTCTATCAAGCCTACCTCCCACCTGCCCTCCTTCCATTCTATCTTTTACCTGAATCACTCTATCTGTTTCAACCTTCATTTTTCCCTCTCTCTATCCTTTTGGCCATTCCTTACATTTTACCTTCCTCCCTCCCTCTCTTGTCAACCTTCCTTCTTTCCATTCCTCAATCCCTTCAGTTATTCCCTATACCTTAATGGACCGCCTCTGTGGTGTAGTGGTTAGAGCGTCCGCCCGGAGAGCGGAAGGTCGCGGGTTCCATCCCCGACCGCGTCATACCAAAAGACGTTAAAATATGGTACTTGTTGGTCCCTGCCTGGCGCTCCGCATTAATGGGTACAACAAGGACTGGTTGGCTCGAAGTCAGTATAATGTGTCTGAGTGGGGTATTCATGCTTCACTGCGGCATGGTATCTCAGTGGGCTAGCACTATAAAACCAGCTTCAGTCTGGGCTAGTACAAGCAGCCGCACATACACATACATGCGCATGCACGTCGTCATGTGAGTGAAATATTCTCAAGTACGACGTTAAACCCAATTTCACCTCACCTCACCTCACCTCACCTCACCCTATACCATAATTGCCCTCCTCCTTCCCTGTTTACAATACAAATCACTGGAATATCTGGTCCCTACTCAGTTATTTTCAGACAGCTATCATGTACCTGGAATGTTAAGAACAATCACTGGCTCCCTCTCTCCCCCTCCTGCCTCCCTCTCCTTCAACTGTCCCTCCCACCACCCTTCAATATTCTCACTCACTCACTCACTCACTCACTCACCATTAACCTTCCTTCTTTCCTTTACCTGATGTGTTTTTCTTTCTATCCTTTATGTGGTGAATACTAAGCTGTGCAAGGATGTAAGTTACACATTGTGATTCTTAAAAGTTGAACTTTATCATCATTGGTTGCTTCTAGACCAATAAAGTAGTTTGAAAAATCTATCTTCTTTTACTTGCTGAATGTGCACTTTTCTGTCTTAAGGGTATATTCCGTCCAACATATGAGCGTTACAAGATCCTGGCTCAGTCTGAGTTAGCCAAGAAGAACATCGGCCCCATTCTGGTGAGTTGTCTGCTCAGTCTTCTAGAGATTATGTGGCAACATACCTTCCAAGTGCCTCATGCTTGTTACAGGAGCAGGGGCGGTGGGGTAGCCTAATGGTTAAAGCATACCTTCACAATGTGTGAAGCCCATTTCTGGTTTCCCCTGCCGCGATGTTGCTGGAATATTGCTAAAAGCGGCGTAAAACCAAATTCAGTCAGCTTGTTGATGTGATGTGATGGCAAATTAGTGACAGTGAATAATTTGTATATCCTTATATGCCACCAGAAATCCTTGTGTTAAGGAGGGACCATGCCGCACAGAGTGGTGTTTGTATCCATGATTGATGATCCATTCATGCTTGACAACGGTACTAGAATCTGTTTCGAAATGTCGCACTCACAAAATAAAAACAGTTGTTATCCATAAAGTTTGTTTTGTGAAGACAACACAACAGCTTTGCCTCCTCTAGATCTAACTCAAGAGGCCTGTTCTCCTCATGAGTGGCTGTAACATTGTTCACAGAAGCACAATACACAGTCAAATAAATTGACATGGTGAAAATCTTTTGCAAAACATATTGGACATTTTCCTTTGGCAGTTAAATATCCTGATCTGCAACATTCGTGACGAGGTGATCGACTACCGCAACAACTACCAATCATCGTTTTCACACTACATGAACATCACAGAAATTGCAGCCCAGTCTTTTTACATCCTGCTGATGGAAGATGTGGAGTTACTCTGCAGGGAGCAGGCGGCAAGACATGACAAGGTGAAGGTCATTCAAGGTTTCAGTGTCATCATTTGTCCTGTGAATATTTCCCTTGTCAGAACAGGACCCATTTTGGAGATGTGTTTCATATCAGGGAACTGTTGAAATCATTTAATTTGAGCCAGTTGATTTCGATGATTATATCTCAGTTTATTTAAATTTAACTGTGTTTAAATTCATCTTACAACAGCATGATGGTAAGTTAGAATCCATTGTTACGAAATTTTCTTATGCAAAAGTCAGACAGAATATAAACTGTAATTTCAAAGTCATCATATCAGTTGCTGTGTTGAGAATATGAGGTTTATTGAAATATTGTTATTCCTATTGTTATAACTGACTTTCTCACTGTTTCAGACCATCCATGAGATCAACCTGCAGGTGCTTGGCTTGGCCTACAGACTCAACAGACTTGATCAGGACTGGGCAGAGCACATTCCCACCGAGTCAGTAGTAATCACTTCAGTACCCCTTGAAACCCGGGTTCTAATTGGTCTTTAGTAAGAACTAAACAGGTTCTAATTGGTCTTTAGTAGGAACTACACAGGTTCTAATTGGTCTTTAGTACAAAGCAATTGCACTAGATGGTCAGGCATGTTGACTGGATTGATGTACATCAATCCAGGCCATCTGGTTATGATGAACCTGACCTCCGGGTCCATTAAGGCGCCTCATACGACAAGTATAGGTTCCATATCATCATGATGAACCTCAGTCCAGGCCATCTGGTTATGATGAACCTGACCTCCGGGTCCATTAAGGCGCTTCATACGACAAATATAGGTTCCATATCATCATGATGAACCTCAGTCCAGGCCATCTGGTTATGATGAACCTGACCTCCGGGTCCATTAAGGCCTCATACGACAAATATAGGTTCCATATCATGATGAACCTCAATCCAGGCCATCTGGTTATGATGAACCTGACCTCCGGGTCCATTAAGGCGCCTCATACAACAAGTATAGGTTCCATATCATCATGATGAACCTCAGTCCAGGCCATCTGGTTATGATGAACCTGACCTCCGGGTCCATTAAGGCCTCATACGACAAGTATAGGTTCCATATCATCATGATGAACCTCAGTCCAGGCCATCTGGTTATGATGAACCTGACCTCCGGGTCCATTAAGTCGCCTCATACGACAAGTATAGGTTCCATATCATCATGATGAACCTCAATCCAGGCCATCTGGTTATGATGAACCTGACCTCCGGGTCCATTAAGTCGCCTCATACGACAAATATAGGTTCCATATCATCATGATGAACCTCAATCCAGGCCATCTGGTTATGATGAACCTGACCTCCGGGTCCATTAAGGCGCCTCATACGACAAGTATAGGTTCCATATCATCATGATGAACCTCAATCCAGGCCATCTGGTTATGATGAACCTGACCTCCGGGTCCATTAAGGCGCCTCATACGACAAGTATAGGTTCCATATCATCATGATGAACCTCAATCCAGGCCATGTGGTTATGATGAACCTGACCTCCGGGTCCATTAAGGACATACGACAAGTATACGTTTGTGGGCGACTGATTTATACATGGAATCCAAATAAGCAAATAAGGGTCATCCCCTTTCAAATTATGTCCATGTTACGAAAACAATTCATGATGCTGAAAATATCCATATATGTAAAGAGCTAACGTCAAGGGAAAATCAACATAGATACTATTCAGTGCGAGACCAGAATATACATAGACTATGGCAAATTTCGATCCTACGACCTGATCTATTTCACTGTATTGCAAACTTGGTGCAAATTAGTACTCTGCGTATCCAATCAAAAGAGTGTATATGTGGCACATTTGCCTACGATATTGTCAAACATGTTTTTATGTACTGCAAGCTGACAAGCCGTCAGAGAGATCTTCTTATCGAATCAATTATTGACATAGGAGATGTATAGGATACGTTTTCTAGCCTTTGGAACAATGATGAAGAATTGATTCTATGTTTCTAACTCGGAGGACTTCCAACGGAATATTGTCTATCCCTTGATGATAATGTATGGCTTGAATGTATGACCAATGGATGTACATCTGTTAACAACTGGAAACATTTTTTTGTAAACTGTTTGTAACTATCTGTATTCCCCTGTTTCTGATCTGCATGTAAATATATCATATCACATTGTATCTTCATTCACTGGAGGAAATAAAGATTATCTATCTATCTACCTGGTAGCTATGGGTTAGGTTTGCACCTGAAGGGTCACACCGTTCACCTTTAATGTTGTAAACGCTTGTTGTATAACTTTGTCATAATGTACCTTGCAAACATTTGGCTTGAATCTCAGCTCCAGTATCCTAGATTTTAGGCAGATTGCATCTTTTGTTGTCAAAGCCCTCAGAGTCATATTCATCAGATGAATTTAAAAGAACCTTTCATAGACTTCCAACTGTGGTTCATTGTCTAATTTCTCAGACTGCATATCTGGTGATGCTGTTCCAAGACAGCAGCTCCACTGTCCTGACAGAAAGGTGTCAGTTTGTATCAGTTGATCAACTGTGTTTCAGAGCTCAACAATGGCGTAAAAGTTTACTACGAGAAATCCTGCTGTGGTCGACGTCCATCATGTACCATGTTCAGGACCTGGTGATAGAGGCTGTGTCAGGAGATGAGGTAGATGATGGTGATCTGTGAAGGACTATACTACTCAACTTATTATAGGGATACTGAGATACAACATACTATTCTGAAAAGGAAAACTTGTTATATATTTTGGGAGATGGGTGGCCCAGTGATCAAAAGCTTGGCAAATCGCTGGATGGAGTTGCATCTCTTTGAAACGTTTGATACTGGGTTCGAATCCCATAAGTTATGTAAATTACAGATTCTAGTACTTCTTTGGGTTGAGTCCATCCGGGATTTGAAGCAGTGTTAAACCCAACTCCCTCACTTACTCTTACGGTACGTGAATCCCAGATACAATTCAACCCAAAAATATTCTGGAATCTGTACTTTACTGAAACAGTGTAATCCCAATTACAACATGCTACAATGTCAGCCATGCCATATTTAGATCTTCCGCACAGAGGATATGTGATTCGAGCTCCACCATGATCTAACTCTCAGATCTACCTGCTGTGTCATTGTGAATTGTTTTGTGTCATTGAATCCTGTTTGTGTAGTTCCAGACGCAGGAGGTTCATCTGATGACCCCTCTGTCGTCCCTGACTGGGTCTTCATACTCTGTCCATCGCAGTCAGTCGCTGTTGGCTTCATCTCTCACTCACTCTGTGAACAGTGCCTTCAGCAGCATCGTGTCTTCGCTCCGATCTACGCCAAACAAACAGGTCAGTATAGGTCTATTTACTCAGTGGCAATCCATTTGTATAGATATATGTCCATATGTTCCCACAGCATGACCGTGGGCTATTGGTATAGGAATGTTGACTCAGTGGCCATCTACACATAATGAGTGAGTTTGGTTTTACGACGCTTTTAGCAATATTCCAGCAATATCACGGCGGGGGACACCAGAAATGGGCTTCACTCATTGTACCCATGTTAGGAATTGAACCCGGGTCTTCGGCATGATGAGTAAACTCTTTGACCACTAGGTTACCCCACCGCCCCCACAGATCTGTGTGTATAGATATACTACCCATCAAAAGTTTAGACTCACCTAAAACACTCACTATATGTTATGTATATATATATGATTACATCGAAGATTACTTTCTCCACTAACTTGGAGGAACCACCTGCAAATTTTATGCAGATGAATTGTACGAGGATCACGCATCAAATTGCTAAAAAGCATGTGCAAATATCATTCATGTGAACAGCTGCGTTTTGGTGTAAAGTTTTGTTAAGAATTCGCCAATTTTCACTGACTTTCATCATTTACTGAACTCATGACAATAATCTTTTACATAATTTGTTTTACAATACATTAGTTCATATGTAAACAGTACCTTTAAACTGAATGGATTACCAGTATTTTGCGAAATCAAGTTTAGAACAGCTGACTGAGGTAAGTGGCTACATAGTGAGTCTAGACTTTTGATGGGAAGTATATATGTCCATGTGTCTCCACAGCATGATACCCATGTGGGCTGTCACTGTAAAACATCCAGACTAGAACTTGCAGCCACACATGCCTGCATTCATGTCACTGTGCTATGATCTTGAACTCTGTGTTAAACAAACTTCATCTTCACCTCCCGAAATATTTTGTGCATGGAATAATACTGGTTATTCTTCTTCAGTTACAGACTACAATTTCTGACTCTCCATCCCGACATCCTCGACAGCCTGCAACCATTATAGAAACTTCCCCTGAAACAATAAAATCATCACAGAAAAGCAACAATGCAGAACCTGAGAAGAAAGAAGTAAAAGTCGTTATCATCCGCAAGCAAGGGTCATTTGAGACCAAGTCACTTATATCGGTTGAGGACCGTGCCGACTGTGTGAAATTTAAAGGCCTTAAACAAAGTGTGTCGATGCCTGACATGAAGGACAAGGATGAAGATGCTTCAGAACACTTGTGGATGACACAGTCAGGAGATGGGGATTCGTGCCCCTTCATGCCCCTGCTCAATGAGAGCGATGAAATGAGCAGCAATGAAGAGACTGGACACAGCAAGAGTGACATTGATGGGTCCGGACTGGTGTTCCAGGCCACTGTACACAATGATCCATGTGATGATGAAGATACGAGCACAGTGGCATCTGAAGCAGACGTGCATTCTGACATTGAAGAAGACTCGGAAACTGAAGGTGACTTTAAGTTTCCACCCATACAACAAGTGTCTTCTGGTCATCAAGACAGCAGTAAGCCTTTCCATTTGGATGATACACATGGTGAGACTCGAGGCTTTGTGTCACGCCTCACATCAGCATTCAGGCTGCCGAGGAAAAGAACTGCTTCCAATGGAACACATGAATCAGGGTTGGAATATGAAGAAACAAAATTCCAAAACTCACTTGAACGGTCGTTCATGTCTGCTGACAACAACTTTGAAAGTTCTGATAGACACACAGAGTTCTTGGATTCCTTCTCTTCTGAATATACAAATGTGTCTCTCCCTACTCCGCCACCTGGTTCTGATGCCTGCTTGCCGATATCTGGTTCTGCTATCGATCTGGTGGTGATACTGCAGCGTCTGGTTTGGATTTCAAGGACATTTTACCAGATTCTGTTCCCAACTTTGGATGACCTTGAGACCTTGGAGGCTCTAGATCAGGGAGAACTCAGCATGGAACAGATGGAGTTTCATCAGAAGAGTGTCGCTGGCAAAGAAGAAATTTATGAAAGCTTCTTGACGGTAAGGCCAGAATAAAACAAATTAGTTAATACATGTTCTTACCCATCCACCTACCCATGAAGATCCATGTTAGAATTCGTCTTCAGCAACCCATCTTTCTTGTAAGAGGTGACAGGGCAGTGGGATAGCCTAGTGGTTAAAGCGTTGGCTTGTCACGCCGAAGACCCGGGTTCGAATCCCCACAATGGGTACAATGTGTGAAGCCCATTTCTGGTGTCCCCCGCCGTGATGTTGCTGGAATATTGCTAAAAGAGGCGTAAAACCAAATTCAGTCAGTGTAAGAGTTGACTAACAGGACTAACAAACCTGTGAAGTATTAATGATAAGTTAAAATCTCAATAAATATTTGTTAAGTTTAGCTCAGCTTTTTTATGTATATTTCTAATGTTATGAACAGTTATCATTTGATTTTTTAGCTAACCCATGAAGATTCAGGTTAGAATTGTACTTCAGCAACCCATGCTTGTCATGAGAGGCGACTTAGGGGATTGGGTGGTCAGGCTGACTGACTTGGTTGGCACATGTCATCGTATCCCAATGTTGCTTGATGCTCATGTTGATCATTGGATTATCTGGTCCAAATTATTTACAGACCGCCACCAAACAGTGCAGCGTGAAACACACAAACAAAAAAGAAACTGATCTGCCTCACTAGACATTCGGCATCACATTATTTCCTTGACCCAAGTATAAGTAGAAAATCTTAGTGTGGATTGTGTTGTTTCTTAACCACATGTAATACTCAGTGTACTTAGTTTCACAAAATATTATGTGAAACACATCTGTCAACATTTTATATACACAGATACTGTGAACAGATTTCCTTAACGAAAGTATGTATAGAAATCAAATTACCTCATCACATTTTTTCACAATTAGAATTAAATAGTTATCATTAAGTTATTGTGGCTTGTCATATTCCCGGGTGCTGCCCAGGCACTCACTCTGTGTGTTACAGTGTGTCTGTTCTAACCCTGTGTCAAGTACCATTCACTTGCCTGTGTGTTGCTTGTCTGTCCTACTGGTGTCCCTCACTGTGATAATGCTGGAATATTGCTTAAAGCGACGTAAAACCCCACTCATTCACTCACTTACCCATTCACTCACTCTTTGTGGTGAGACAGAGTAAACCGACTTGGGGTGAGTGAGTGAGTTTAGTTTTAGGCCGCTTTTAGCATTAATCCAGCGATATCATGGCAGGGAACACCAGAAATGGGCTTCACACATTGTACCCAAGTGGGGAATTGAACACGGGTCTTCGGTGTGCGAAGCGAACGCTTTAACCACTAGGCTACTCTCCCGCCCCCTAAACCGACTTGGAAATGATTACTGCATACAAACTCAACTACCACTCACATGTTTGTCATGACTTTGTGCACTCTCTCTCCCAGACCATCTGTGTAACATCATGCCAGTATGCTGACAACATGCTGTGTCTTGACCTGTGTGGAACACCTAACTCTGCAGCTAAAAGGCTCATAGGACCCAAGGTATGCTACCTAATATACCTACTGTCAAATAATATCATCCATCAGTATACAGAAACATTGTGTATTCTTAAATACATTTGTTGTACTGTGAAATTATCTGTCAGATGTAGATCCATTAAGTTTGAGCTAAACAACATGAAATCTGGAAGAAAAGTTACCAGAATACTTTCAATGTGTCTAGCAATATCAATATTGGACGAATTAGAATTGACATGGTTACTCACAGATGGTTGCAGGCATGGTAAACTTCACTGAGGCCATTGGTCAGATTGTGGAAATATAACCTTCATTTTGGTTCATTAGATCCTCTTTCTTTAGTGGTGTAGCGGTTAGAGTGTCCGCGCGGAGAACAGAAGGTCGCGGGTTCGATCCCCGGCCGCGTCATACCAAAAGACGTTAAAATATGGTACTTGTTGGTCCCTTCCTGGCGCTCGGCATTAATGGGTACAACAAGGACTGGTCGGCTCAGAGTCAGTATAATGTGTCTGAGTGGGGTATTCATGCTTCACTGCGGCATGGTATCTCAGTGGGCTAGCACTATAAAACCAGCTTCAGTCTGGGCTAGTACAAGCAGCCGCACCTACACATACACACGTATGCACGTCGTCATATGAGCGAAATATTCTCAAGCACGACATTAAACCTCACCTCACCTCTTTCTTTAGACATTTGTTACTTTGACATTAAAAGTTAGTGTGATGATAGAAGCCTGAAGCCACTACAAGACAACACCAGCAATATTTTGTGTGATCTACATCATTGATTTCCATGCAGCTTCTGGAGCACCTAACCAATCAGCAGAATACAGGCCTTGTGTGGGGATGTCGGCATGAGCTGGATGGGAAGAAGAACTGCTTTGAGTACCTCAACAAACAAACTGCCTATCTCTGTGACAGATATGAGCCAATCACACAGCAGGTATTCCCAATACGATAACAGTTTGCCTTCCTGTGTGAAAGTTATCAGCCGATCGCTGTGCATGTATGAACAGTAGAATGTAAGAGTCTGCCTACCTGTGTGACATATATCCACCAATCACAGTGAAAGGTAAGAGCAATAGGACTTTAGTCTGCCTACCTGTGTGAGATACCACAGTGAAGGTATGAGCTATATGATGCAAGAGTCTGCCTACCTGTGTGACAGATATCAACCAGTCAGTGTGCAGATATAAACAGTAGAATGTAAGTCTGCCTATCTGTGTGACATATATTCACCAATCACAGTGAAAGGTAAGAGCAATAGGACTTTAGTCTGCCTACCTGTGTGAGATACCACAGTGAAGGTATGAGCTATATGATGCAAGAGTCTGCCTACCTGTGTGACAGATATCAACCAGTCAGTGTGCAGATATAAACAGTAGAATGTAAGTCTGCCTATCTGTGTGACAGATGTCCACCAATACAGTGAAATGTATGAGCAATAGGCTTGTAGAGTCTGCCTAACTGTGTGAAAGAAATATCAAGTATTATATCAATGGTCCAGCCCAGACTGGATTATTTACAGACACCTGAAACATGGCTGTGATCAGTTTTGAACAACATACAGTTATCTTAGGAATTTTTAATGAATACACTCAACTGTAAATCTGAACAAACTTATGAAAGAAATATTGAACAGAACTGTCTGGTCAGAAATTTATTTTAGAAGAAATTGTTGTAAGAAAATTTGTTCAACCCTGAGCATTTCTTTGACAGATGTGTACACGTATCAACAACGTGTCAGCCATGTTGAAGTTCCTGGAGATTTATGAGCGTCGCCTTGCCAACACATTTGGGGAGAAAGACTTGTGGATCAACTCTGATGACATGCAGAGGAGCCGCTTGAATCCCAGGAGCGGCAGACAGAGCTGCATTTCGGTGCAAGGTCAGTTGTCTGTTGTGAATGTTGTAACCAGGATTGAAGGGGCCCTGTCATAAAGTGCCACACGATTTGCTGTGCATTTCTGTGGTTCTAATCCCAGATTTGCATTTAATTTCTTTTTGGCTTGTCAGTGTCATACACGTTTTCACTGAGTTCATCATACATCTGACATCGACATCACTGTGGTCCTTCACCTACAATCAAGCTGACATAATGTAACTGAAATTTTGTTCAAAGTTCCCCAATATTCCTTTACAAGTGTCTCTGCAGTGTTGATATTAAGTAGGTTTCTTTGCTGTTCTACACTGCCTAAATATTGACAGTTTAAAATTATGTTAATCAGACTTTGAATATTGGAATATTTGAATACAAAGTTGAATGACAGAAGTGTGGTTCCCCATGATCATACATTGATGCTCGGATTAAAATGGCAATCAGGTCACTAAAATTTTGACATACATGTAATTTGCAGATTGAGGAAGAGCAATATATAGGTCATATACTTATCCTGAGTGTTTACTGACAGTGAGCTTAGTTTTACACCACGTTTAGCGATATTCAAGTAATGTCACGGAGGAAACACCAGAAATGGGCTTCACACATTGTACCCATGTGGGTAATGGAACCTGTGTCTTTGAGAGAAAACTTTAACCACAAGGCTACCCCACCAACCCTACTGAGGTTTTTTAGAAAGACTAATGGAGCAAAAACATAAGTGATGTTTTAGTTTATTGGGAGCACAGAGATACATTCTGTGAAGCTAATCAAGATGATGCCTCATCCAAGAAGTGATCATGTTGTTTGTTGATGTCAGATTTCACCATGGCGGATCGTCTAGATGAGCTGGAGAAGGACGAGTGGCCAGACCATGAGGAGCTGCAGCCAAGCTCAGGCCCTTTTGTGCACAAGCTCCTCAACCCCCATCAGAGCCACCTGCTGGCCGTACAGAAAGCTCAGTGTCGAATCATGGCTTACAGGGTAGGTTGTGTTGCCATGCTTTGAACAGACTCTGGCTTACATGGTAGGTTGTGTTGCTATGATCAGAACAGACTCATGGGTTATAGGGTAGATTGTGTTGCTATACTCAGTGTCAACTCATGGCTTGTAGGGTAGGTTGTGTTGCCATGCTCAGAACAGACTCACAGCTTTCAGAATAGGTTGTGTTGCTATGCTCAGTAAGGGATAATGTTTGTCTGTATGGTTGTCTTTCTACTCTCCACACAGGTTTGTTAAGCTTCTTAGATTCTCATTTATTGTTTTCTGTCAGATAGCTTGAATATTACTGATATGTGTTTGAGTCTTTACTCACAAGTGCAGTTATCAAAATGGGATGATGCCCCATAGAGGATGTGATAGATGATTGTGTCTTTTCCACAGCTCAACTTATTTCTCCATGATGCTCTGGCTCTGCTGATGAGGCTAAAGCCCCTCAACGTTTCCATACAGGATTGTTTGAAGCCTGTAACCAACTTCCTCCATAAATATATGGAGAAACTTAGTGGCTGGCTTTACAAGGACTGTTTCCATCAGCTGTTAGAATGTCTGTGGATATTTCTTGTAGAAGTAAGTGTATTTTTCCTGATTAGGCAATCCTTTTTCTAATTTTGTACATAATACTACGAACATCAATTATGAGAAAACCGACCGCAAAAGTCTTAGCTGTTCCGTTCAAGGACAAATAAAGACCATACATACAGGTGGTGGAGTCTCAGACATTATCTTTATCGTAGACAAGGTATTCAGCTAGGAACTCTACATGTCTTTACTGTGGAGTGACAGCAGAAGGAATGATGATACGGGCCTAGGTGCTTACCTGGTTGGCTGCGCATGCGTAGAGGGAGGTAACTCCACGGGGTGGGGGCCGTATAATAGATAAAAAAGATTTTATTTATTGTACAATATTTTTATTAAAACATTGATACAACTGTCACAGGACATTTTCAGCGCAGAAAATGCATATATGTACCCCAAGGACGAGTCTCTTCAAAGAACTGAAAACCTCTACAGGTTTATTTAAATTTGTACATAATATACTACAAACAGTACTAATTTGTGTGGAAGGGTTGACTAGTTAATATGTTTGCTCGTCACACCAAAGACACCATCATGCCTGTTTCCGCACATGGGTAAAGTTAGGGGAGCCAATTTCTAGTTTTCATCACCATGAAATTGCTGGAATATTGGTAAAAGCATCATAAATCCAAACTCACTGTTTGCAATTTGACTAATCCAAATATCTTGTTTTGCAGCGAATCTGTAAACCTGAATTACAAATTTTTTAGCTTAACTAACTAAAATCATGGCCATGATGAGCCTATGACACTATGAGGCCTTGTTTTGTGTGTGACAGTAAGGTGAAGGCCTGTACAGTATTAACTACCATGTTTGTTTATGTGTATATAGGATTTGGAGATGGAAGCTGAGAGACTTCGTCGGAGGAAGAAGATTCCACACCCTTCTGGGCACAAACGGTACTACAGGCGCTCACGGTATGTGGATGAGATCTTTCGGTTGTCGTTCAGATTTCTATGTTTTTCATGTATGTATTCTAGGTGAGAGTGGGTTTCCAGTTCATCATGCTATTGATGACTAATAAGAATTAGAGGATAACAATGTGTGAGCTAGCACATTGTCATAGTACTCTTTGTGTTGTTGCTCATTGTATCGAACACTGTCTAACAGGAATAGGTCTTTAACAAGGCACCTTAATATCACTGGATTATCGGTGTTATGAAATATTCACTCATAGAGAATAAAACATTTGACAGAAAGTAAATACATGTAGATGCTTGACCTTCACACACCCAACTGAAGAATATTGTTGATGTAGGTGAGAATATTTCAGGTGAAGATTGTTATTCTTTTTTTCAGCACTTGTTGAAATTTATGAACAACTTTGGAAAAGGTATCACAAGAAATCTGCTGTTGTCACAAGCGGTGAGTAGAAACCTTTTCAGATTATGTAATACTTTAGTGTTTGTGCATTACTTTCAACACAGCAAGCAATATTCCAGCTGAATAATAAATGAAAATCTTCTTATGATAGCGTTCTTGTGTTGAAGGCTGGTCCAGGTGGATACCTGCTTATCAAAATATGACTGAATTATATCAAGTTATAATTGAACAGTGTTTAACGCTGGACCAGAAATAAGTAATTATATAATAATTAAACCAGATTAAGGGATCATTATTGTTCATGTGTTACTGTAAGCTTTGGGAACATTTTGAAGAAACTATTCATGATCATAACTGCCACTCTTTCTGTTAAAGATATAATGAAAATTGCATATCAGTAGTTACTATTGGGGTTCAATGTACAGTTCTGTTTTTCCCAGTGTTTAATATGTTGATAATCAAGAACTTCAAACGATGAGTCCCATATTAGAGACAACAGAGAATGCTAGGAGCCTGGAATCAGATGGAACTCAGCTCGCATCACTGGTAATGTGTATGTTGTTGCAGGATGAGCTGGTCTTCAAGCTGCAGCTGTACTCGCTGTCCACACATCAGCTCCTGGCGCTCTACAGTAAACTCACAGATGTAAGTTCTTTGCTTCCCATCAAGGAAGGGGATGGTGGGTAGCCTAGTGGTTAATGTGTTGGGTCATTAGGCCTGGGTTTGATTCCACACGTTTTATAAAAGCAAACTGACCCATTTACTCAGTCAGTCCCACAACGAAGCACACATGACACATGGCCTCACCCTAGGTAATCGAGTTTGTTTATAAATTGCCTCTGTTCACCCAGTAGTGAATGGGTACCTGGTGGGATAAGTCATATGACTGTTAACCTTCTAGCATTATGCCTGGGTTTGATTTCACACGTTTTATAAAAGCAAACTGACCCATTTACTCAGTCAGACCCACATCGAAGCACACGACACATGGTCTCACCCTAGGTAAGTGAGTTTGTTTATAAATTGCCTCTGTTCACCCAGTAGTGAATGGGTACCCGGTGGGATAAGTCATATGACTGTTAACCTTCTAGCACCTCACAAGCAGCTTGGGTTATCCGGGGTAATAATGTGTTAGTGCCTTGAGCATGCACAAGTGGGATAGGTCATATGACTGTTAACCTTCTAGCACCTCACAAGCAGCTTGGGTTATCCGGGGTAATAATGTGTTAGTGCCTTGAGCATGCACAAGTGGGATAGGACATATGACTGTTAACCTTCTAGCACCTCACAAGCAGCTTGGGTTATCCAGGGTAATAATGTTTTAGTGCCTTGAGCATGCACAAGTGCATGGAAACAGGTGCTTTATAAATAGCCATTATCATTATTATGATTGTTTATGCTTATTTGAGCTTTTGTGTCCACCAGTACTCACTGGGAGAAAGAGGGATGTTCCCCCATGAGATAGAGAAGCCAGCACCTACAGTCATCCTGCAGAAGATCCAGAGAGATCTGCAGCGATTCAGGAAATGTTTTTCTGGGAAGGAGCTGATTCAGTGGATCTTCAGAAACAGAGATCTCTTCTATAGAGTTGGTAAGTTGATATTCTTTCAGCCAAGAGAGCAGGATGATGTATTAGGCTACTCAAACACTCTTTCACCCTTTACCACAGTTACCATGGTGATTCAGTGAGTTGAGTAGTCAGTGAATTGGGTACTCAATGACAGAGCAGGGAGTTGGGCTTATGTAAGTGGGTGGTTTCAGTAATCAGTGAGTGGTTTCGGTAGTCAGTTTGTGAGTGGTTTCAGAAGTCGGTGAGAGTGGGTTTGATAGTTAGTGAGTGAGTTGGTTCTGTAGCCTGTCAGTGAGTTGGGTCCCCAGTGAGTGAGTTTTTTGTTTGTTTGTTTTTAATCTTTTTATTCATTTCATGTCAGTAGGTGTACATTCAGATTGGGTGTCTACAAATATATACATATATTATGTATGAATAACAATTTTATGAAATTTATATAAAGCAACAATACATTGTTCGTTGGATACTGTACTGAAGGATGCATGAAATAAGCATGTATGAACATCAAAACTGATATAGTTGTGTACTATGAATACTGATGAAAGACAAAATTACATCATGAGACAACTACATTAAGACTGCAATACAATGATCAATTATTTCCTGTTTGCATGGAATGAAGGCAGAGCGTTATTCATCTTTGCAATAAGTGAGTGAGTTAGTGAGTGAACATTTGTTACATCGGTAATATTCAGTTATATCACAGTGAAGTTATTTAATAAGGGATGAAAGTCATAGTTTACCACTTTGACGAAGCCCAAGATCATGTGCAAACTAAGAATCATAATCTGGACAAATGTAACACACAGGTTTATTGTCTTTTATTTGGATAAAAAACTGAAAAGTCAACATTAGTCAGCTTACTTGATTTTGATTTGTTGAAATTCAGTTATCAACAAACAAAATTCTTGTTATTTTCATGATTTCAATTTTCCTTCACTTCAAATCAAATGTTATGGCGAGGTAGCCTAGTAGTTTAATTGTATCTGATACCTAAGTTATACATATTCACTTTTGAAGCCCATTGCTAGCATCTTCTGCCACAATATTGCTGAAAACAGCATTACTCACTCTTGTGGAAGATATGAATGTTTTGCTAAAGATTCTTTATTATTTGTTTCAGAGCCAGTGATGGTTGAACGTTCTGTACCATTCACAAAGGATATTGCTTTTGAAATCGTACTCACGTTCCTAGATTTGCGATACATAGTTGACCTTGAGACAGGTACGAGTTACATAACAAGAACTTTAGATTCTGCTCACATTTGCTTTACATTAAGGGTTTTCATGTAATATATGAGTCATATGTAGTTGACACCTGAATTATGTACCAAGTTATCTCACAATTCTACTATGCATTTGAAAATACTTGATTCAGCGAATTGGGACTGTTGTTATGTAAGAGAAACTTCCAGTATTCATAAGGCAGCTTCTTATTAGTCCTCATCATCTTTATTTACAGCAATCATGGTGCCATTGAGCTGGAATGAATATATGTAACTCTCAAAATCCTAGCACATCTTATGTTTGTGGTATATCTATCAGAAGTCAAGGTCATCTTGGACGTTTGTGTGAAAAATCTTGTATCATTTATTGCCAGTTACTGTTTCTTTTTACTTGTGAGGTCGTAAGACTTGGTTAATTGATGGATCTTAAGAAGTTGCCTTAATTAAGTTCAAGGTCTAGTAATAATGTTTTTGGATATATAAGTCCAAATGTTTTTGGACTTGGGAGTCTTTAAGATATGGCAGTGATGGGTGTGCGTCTTGAAGATTGTCTGTATTTTCTCTTCAGTTTCTTTGAGTGGCATTTTAGAAGTTGGGAAGTACAATATAGAACAAACTTTATGGATAACAACTTCTTTTTTATTGGTGAGTGCGACGTTTCGATACAGATTCTTGTACCGTTGTCAAGTATAATGTTCTGTGAGATAACTTGGTACATAATTCAGGTGTCAACTACATATGACTCATATATTACAATTTTCATTATGCTTGACAACGGTACAAGAATCTGTATCGAAACGTCGCACTCACCAATAAAAAGAAGTTGTTATCCATAAAGTTTGTTCTATATTTTCTCTTCAGTAATTTGTTTATTGAGATAATATTTTGTTATCAACATAACAAAACATTTGAATAACATTTTAAATACTGAACCAGACCAAACAGAGCATCAGTTATTTCATCAGCCTCTGAAGCATATGTCCAGTCCTTGGCCTCAGAGAAAGTCATCTCCAAATATGGGCATTACAGTCATAGGATTTAGCAAAAGTCAGGGTGTTGTGACAACCTTATTTTCAAATCTGCTTTGTGGAAGGTTGTTAGGTTGACAAACTTTACATTTACATCCAGCACTTTATCCAGGTCACTACATTTGAAGAATGTTTTAACTCCTACTTTTGGTTTACCCCCAAAAAATGTTATAACAGACCCATATATTTGTTTCAGACGACAGTCGGTCTCCAAGCCCAACTAACAGTGGTATTCGATACCCTGAGATAAGCATTCACAGCCAGTTCACACACACCACCGACTTACATTCACGAGCAGCAAGCACAGACACTTATGACCTGACGCCAACAGCCTCCCCCACCATAGGGGCCTACCAAACTCAGGGCTACTCATCTCTCAGGAACCTTACCAGCAATGGCAGCACACCAACCATAATACAAGATGAGGATGTGCCTCATAAAAGTACCTGGAGCGAGGGTCAGAGACTATCACCATGTCCCAGTGTAGATAGTCAAGAGAATCAGGAACCTGCTATGAACGGTGATACTTCTAAATTAGATGGTGCAATGCCTGGTCATGAATCAGGCAGCTTTTTGCCCAGGATGTCTAGACATGATCAGGGTGAAATAGACAAAGATATGGAACCAAATCTGTACAGAAATTCCCCCAATGATAAAACCCAAAGATGCAATGAGTCCGTTTCTCTTCAAAAACCCACCACTCAATTAACCTCTATAGAAAACCCAGGCTTTGAATCACTTCCTAACCATGGTGCCAAATGTGAAGAAACAAAACTACCAATCCACCACCAATTAAGGGCTGGGTCCAAACAGAGTATAGCCTCAGGTTCCAATTTACTGGGTTCCTATGAGAGTGGAACAAGAACCTTTCCACTGACCCATCCTCGGCAACATCACCTGAGATGTATGTCCGAGGGAACATCATTATCGTCTCTTTACACTCCTCTGTCTTTTCGTTCAGATACCTCATATGTTGCAGTGATTGATTCAGCAAGGACATTCTTTCATGTTTTGCCTCATGCAGTTGAGGAAAGTGGTTATCTGAACATGTCATCCCCTGCTTTTGAAAGCTATATCAAGGAGAACTCGGATAGGTTCACAAAGCTCATGCGGTCAAGGGAAACGGCAGATATGGTGGAAAAATGCTTTCAAAGGAAAATCAAACCTGTGTTTCTCCTCACTATTGTGTATGGTATGAGGAAAAGTGACCCAGATGCAAAGGCATTTGTCAGGCAGTTGCCAGCTAAAGTGTTGGACAAGATAAAAAATCAGCTCCATAGTTGATGATTAAAACATCAGCGATAGGATTAGTGGCTGTTTGGTTTTTTTACATCAAGGGAATTTGAATATGGCATAAAACTGTGTAATATGCCATGCCAGTTGTTTGCATCCCTGGTGTCATTGCTGCAATATTTCCAGAAGTAGAATAATACACAGCTCACATTGAGATCCAAGCACCTACAGTGATTCATGTAATTTCTTTATTGTTGCTTTATTGTTGCTTTCCTGATTTTGTCTAATGTTTTGCACCAGTTAATGAAGCACAGTTTTATTCTTCTTTTTAATGATTGGACCATTGAATACATGAACCAAAGGTGAGTTTTATGCTGCTTTTAGACATATTCCAGCAATAATAATAATAATAATAATAATATATAGAGATTTATATAGCACCAATATCCAGATGTGTCCTGCTCACAGGCGCTTTCGTATGAGTCTGACAAGGAAAGAGTCACTCGGAATTGTAACATGATTTGAAAAAGAATGTTTCAACATTCTCTTAAATGTACAGATTTACAGCAATATCATGTAGGAG